TACATGGACCCTTAGGGATTCTGCTACCCAGACTCATCCTCCACGAAAAACCCTAGGGATCAAGATAGCCCAAAAGCCTTATATAGTATGGTCTTTGGGCCCAAAAGCCTTAATATATGAGTCCTTAGATCCCTTGGGAAAAAGACAGCGATTAATCCTCAACTCCTCGCTGAAAGCCCTGGAGCCTTGAAGCGCCAGACCGCAGAGGCAGGTCGTCCTAGAACTCATTCTCTTTAGGGCTTCGGGTTTAGGGTTTAGGGTTTAGGGTTTAGGGTTTAGGGTTCGGGTTTAGGGTTTAGGGTTTAGGGTTTAGGGTTTAGGTTCTGAGTATACTTAGTTAGTTAGGTCATACAGGATATTATATGATGCTATTCCTCAGGGTTCTTCGTTCTATTTATAGTAGCATGTACCCCAAAACCCGATTGCATTCCTTCAGGGGCTCTTATAGCAACCCGTTAACAGAACCCTATCTTCAAGTAACCCTTTAAAAGAGAACCCTCCTAAAGTCCCGAAAGTACTTTCGCTGCCAGCAATGAGAGGCGGCCTGCAGAACCTCATTCGGGCCTATCAGGTGCTGGTTTTTGGGTTTAGGGGTTTAGGGGTTTAGGGTTAGGGGTTTAGGGGTTTAGGGTTTGCGGGGTTAGGGTTCGGGGTTTAGGGGTTTACGGGTTTAGGGTTTGGGGGTTTTGGGGTTTGGGGTGTAGGGTTTAGGGTCTTTATTCCTCAGGGCCCCTGTGCCTAAGATAGGTCTTGTATGCTATATGGATGTAGGGTCTAGGGTTGAGGGTGTATCTTGCGAAGCCTTTTATGGTCTGGGATCCTAAACTTCGAAATAGGCGAACGTATTAAAAATAAAGGCATTGCAGTAGAGACTACAGGTATTATATGGGTGTATAGACGAGACGCCCAGGGTTTTGTGTAGGATTATCGAGGGTTTACTGGTATATCAGAGAGCCGTGAATGAGCTCTAAAACCCTTCAGTATTAACAAAAACGCCCAACACTTTAAGTAGACGGGTCTTGGATTTTTTGGGGGGTTTTGGAATCGATGAGAGCTTCGGGGTTAATAGTTTGTGGCGAGAAAGTCCACCTCGAAAGTCCGTTACCCGCTCCACGTCTTGTTCAGACTCCAACTGCGATGGCGACATGAGTGTCTGCAGGATAACTTGGCATGAGCAGGACCGAAACTGCAAAAGGCATTGAACCCTTAACCCTAAACCCTAAACTTTAAACCCTAAACACTAAACCCTGAACCCTAAACCCCAAACCCTTAATGTGCGAGCCGAAGCCCTCCCGACCCCCGAACCAGAAACGGGCAGGATGCCGAATTCCGCTTAGCCGTTGAAGCCCAGCTTGATGGCCACAAATCTAGGACATCTTCAGGTGGGTAGTTACCGCTATAGGAGCCTTACAGAAGGTTTATATACCTTGTAGAAGCCTTATAGAAGCCCTACATACCCTAAACTCCCCCTAAACCCTAAACCCTGTATACCCTAAACTCCCCACCTGTAGTTTCCGTTAAACAAAGCAGCACTCCGCAGGCTGGGACCCAGAACCCCAACTCCAAATGCACCAATACCTATGCATGGTCATAATGTGTACCTTAAGGACGACATGAACCCTAAACGTGTACCTTAAGGACGAAATGAACCCTGAAAGTGTACCTTAAGGACGAAATTGACCCTAAAAGGGTTTAAGGTGCATATGTACCATCTAAGGATTCATAGTATAAGGCTATAGGGCCCCTACTTTTAAGAGTCATGTCGTCCTTAAGGGTGTGCTCATCTGCAGGTACGTGGCCACGAAGCCGCTTCCCTGGATCCACTCAATCTCCATGCCTGGCGCCGGGGTCGTAGTTTTTGTTGCCTTTTTCTTATGGACTTTTCCAGGTGTTCAAGAGCTGCTATGGGTACGTAATTCGTATGTAAGAATGTGCAGGCTCGCCGCGAGAATTCAGCGGGCTTCAGTCGGTGTCTACGCGGGGGTTTTGGTTAGCTTCAACTCCCGAACCTTCGTTTGTATTGCAAGCAACCTAGCAGATTCATCGTGAGCAATTAAGCTTTTTAGAGAATCAACCCTAAACCCTAAACTGATCCGAGGGCTTCAAGATTGAAGCCTGCAGTCGCCCAGCAAGTTCATGCAAGCCTTCGATGGCCCCAAAGCGCCGGTGGATGATGCGCGCTCACACACAACCGCAGCAAGCATACACATGACCATGCGTTCTATGATGCCCTGTGGACCCGAACCCGGCCTCGATCTCAACTTCTTTAAACCTAAATCTAAAGCCGACAGCGTCCATTAGCTAAGCCTTAAAGCCCTGTCCTGAAGCCTGAAACTTCACAACCCTAAACCGTACAATGTGAGAACCTGATTAACGAACCCTGGTCCTCTAAGGGTTTAGGGTTTAGTAATTTAGGGTTTAATAAACCCTAAACCCTAAACCCTAAACCCTAAACCCTAAACCCTAAACCCTAAACCCCCAAAAAAAGGGCGCTTCATCAAGACCCAAGGTTTCTTAACCAGGTTCCTACATTAACGCGAGAAGCCCTAAAGCCCCGAACTTGCTCAGTCCTTCAGCCCCTAAGCCTTTACAGGCTCCACGTACCCATATGGTATATACTTATACCTTAAAGGGGTTCCTACAAAGGTGCTTTTCAGGCAGAAGTATATACTACATGCTTACATGGAGCCTTAGGGTAAGCCTCAACCCTAAACCTTCAAATGCCCAAGCCCCAGGCCACTGGGAAGAGAAGGGAATCTCAGGGACCGCTCCAGAGTTGGACCCTGCGCTGCCTAGCTCAAGAAGCCTATGTGCTCTCAGGGTTTGGGGTGTAGGGTCTAAGCCCTCAGCCCTGAACGCAAAACCCTCAGCCCTAAACCCTAAGCCCCAAACCCTAAGCCCTAAACCCTAAACCCTAAGATTAGGGTTTCGGGTTTCAAGTGGCTTAGTTTTTAGCTTTCGGGCGTGGGTTCAGGGTATAGAGTTTAGGGTTCAGGACCTTGAGTCTGAGTAACACCCATAAGCATCGGAAAACCTGTATGAACGCTCTTAGTCTTAATTAAGATTGGGGCCTGAGTAATCAGAATGGGGTTTTGGGGTAAATTATACACTAACGATACTAAGGAACCCCCAAAACCTGATTCTAATCATTGAGGCCCCTATATTAGGACCCTCTGAAAACCTTCGGGTTTATGTAGTGTCGGGATCTAGGAGTTTTCGGTTTTGCTGTTTTGGCTGATGGCTTCAACTTGGGTGTAGGGTTCAGCGTAAATGGCTCTGCGGTTCAAGGGTGGTCGCAAGGATGACACGGATGATGATAAGACTCAGGAAGGGGATGAATAATGATGATAATATGTGCATGCTTCACGCCGCATTGGCCCTAGTCTCCATAGCTGAGCCTTGAAGTTAAAGTCGTGAATCCAAAACCCCGGTCGTGAATGCTGCCAAAATCCAGAACCCCAAACGTCGTGAATCTTGGAGACACCCTAAGCTCTACAGTCGCGGTTTAGGGTTTAGGGTTTGTAGGGTTTGGGGTTTAGGGTTAGGGCTTGTAGGGTTTAGGATCGTGAAAACTCTAAGCCAAAGCTTCATGCACACTCCCTCAAGCGCTTAACCGGGTGCCTGACCGGGGACGGCACGAGAGCTTATAGGATTTACGGGGGTTATGGGGCTTACATGGTTTGTAGGCTTTAGGGTCCATTTGATTCCTAAGCCCGAACGCCGAGAAAAGTCAATGGACTTGCCCGTGCTAGGACCTGCGATTTGCTGATTCCTAGGCTTGGTACATCTTGGCACCTTGCCAGCTGCAGAATCTGTATAATGTAGGTGGGGGGATTAAGGCCCCCCATATTACTTATCATGTTGTTGCTGTTGCTTATGGTTAGGCTGAAGTTGCTGTTGTATCGGCTGCTCTTTGCTGCTGCCGCTGCTCTTTCTCTGCTGCTTGTCCTTCTGGTCGTACCTCTGTGGCTACCACATGGCGACTACGACATGTGGCTACTTCTTCTTTGATTGCTCTTCAGACCGCAAACGAAGACGAGACTCGTCTTGGTTGGGTCCCACCATACAGAATCACCCTAACCCTAAACCCTAAACCCTAAACCCTAAACTCTAAACCCTAAACCCTAAACCCTAAACCCTAAACCCTAAACCCTAAACCCTAAACCACCACCATATAGTCCTGTTACGCCGCGTCCGCCCGACCGCATAAACAGGCAGGTTGCTGTCTTCGGACCCCAACGTGGGGTCACAATATAGGGGCCTTCATAATTAGAATAGGGTTTTGGGTTCCAGTATACTATAATATAATTATAACAAGGAACCCCCAAAATAGTCTAGGTAGTGATTTAGGCGCATATTAATTAGGATGTCGCACGGAGTCTTCTCGTAGGTCGGCTAAATTGTAACCCGAAGCCCTCAACAGCCGACACCCTAAAGCCGGAATCCACTCCCAAACAAGGTTTAGGGTTTACGGTTTAGGGTTTAGGGTTTAGGGTTTAGGATCCACTCCCAAACAAGGTATCACGGCTTCTCAGAGAAGGACACTTGCCAGCAGGAAGTGCAGGTGAAATTCACATCTCTGACAGTCAATGGGGGGATGCGTTAAGCCGTTAGGCTTAAGGGCCGCTGCTTCGGGTGTTCATTATGTCTAGGATCCCTCCATGTAGGATCGATATGGAGTGCCATTAATTAAGGCCCAACCCCCTAAACCCCTAAGCCCTAAACCGTAAAGCCCTAAACCCCTAAACCCCTAAACCCTAAACCCCTAAACCCTAAACCCCTAAACCCCTAAGTGCTCCAGAAATTTAGGGCTTAAGACTTGGGATTCGCTCCCTCAGTAGGTACACTGTCACTCATCAGTTTGCCAGTGCACATGTATCGCTTAGAGTAGCTGCTGGGTCGAGCTTCCTCGTGGCCTGATTCAGGTACTGTTTGGGGTTTAGGGTTTACTTGGAGACCACAAGTATGTAGAATAATAGCCTCTATAGGTCTTGGGCCATTATTCTACCTACTTGTGGTGTTTAGGGTTTAGGGTGCTTGCCTAAATCCTAAACCCTAAACCCTAAACCCTAAAGCCTAAACCCTAAACCTGAATCCCTAAAGCCTAAAGCCTAAACCCTAAAGTTGGGAGTGCGTAGGGTGCAGTCTAGGCTTCAGGTTCCGGGCTTCGGCCCATCGGGTCTTCCAAGGGCAACACATCCGTTCCCTAACCATAGGCACCATCGTAGTTCCTTTTTGTGGCTCATATTACGGATAATATAGGCTCCATCGTAGTTCTTTTTTGTGGTTCATATGTTGGGTATAGGCTCCACCGTAGTTCCATTTTGCGGTTCATATGTTGGATATAGTCTCCACCGGAGTTCCATTTTGTGGTTCATATTTCGGATAGAGGCTCCAAAGTAGTTCCGTTTTGTGGTTTGTATTTTATTTGGGATCCTGTAAGGTACTCCCCAAAGGTAACCCCAAACCCCAAGCCCTAAACCGCAATATCATTCGAGTGGCCTTCTTTCAAAGACCCAAGATGCGCGCTGCACTGACTATAAATAGTCGCGACTCACTACGTCGTACCGTTACCATCACCATTACTATCACTGGCAGAATTACGGCTTTTGTCTGTCATGACTGTTGCGATTATTGTAGATGTTGGTATTGATATTTTCAGGATTATTCATGTTTTTGCTACGATTATTGTTCTTAGTGGTTTTGGTTTGTTGCTCTTGAGTTTAAGGCTGTCATTGTTGTTTTACTGCGTCTATAGAATTTCGAAGTCCTCCAACCTGTGGCTTCCGAAACCCTAAACCCTAAACCCTAAGCTTCCTGAAAAGGTTCCGTTTGCAAAGAAGATTTGTTCTTGCAGTTGCGGCTTAGTAGCGGCTGGCTCGCCTGTAATCCCTATAGAGTTTAGAGTTTAGGGTTTTAGGGCTTTAAGGTTTCAGGGTTTCGGGTTTAGGGTAAACCCGATCGAAGCCCCGAAACCCTACATCCAAAACCCCTCAACCCGAAGCAAGTTTCGTGACTACGTCCTCAGCCCCAAGCCACGAACCTCACTAACCCTGTACCCCTACACCCCGGTACCCTAAACGAACCAACCTACATCTGATATCAGAAACTCTTTTACCTTTGATTCTAAACGCTGCAACCCTGAGACCCTCAAGCCAACAAGCCCGGATTGATTACACCCTACACCGGTTTGCTGCACGTTCACCAGAGCCTCCCCTGTGCGCAGACAGGCATCATCTTTGATTCTAACTGCCGAAATTTGAATTCGCATCTACATTTGAAGAGAAAAGCCGAAGACAAAGAGGCAGAGGACAGACAGACAGACAAACCCACAGACCCACAGACGCATGCATGTACGGACGTACAGATGTGCAGACACACAGACAAATCGGCACGCAGGAGTCTTAGGGTTGGGGTTTAGGGGTTTAGGGGTTTGGGGTTTGGGGATTCTAACGTAGCACACAGAGACACAGAGACAGAGAAAGGATGAAAGATCACTTAGTCGGTAACTGTCGCCCTTGCGGATCAATGTAGCATAGGATCTGGACAAGACGTTCCAAGTGAATTTCGCTGGCCTGAACACCAGCTCCACCTTGCGTGACATCGTGGCCGCCCTGAGAGTCTCTCTTGAGATTCAGAATTGGGGCCTTAATACTCAGAAAACGGTTTAAGGGAGAATATTCTAGGTCATATCATCATATCTGAATGATCAGAAAACGGTGTTGGGAGTATATTTTAGCTCATAATTAAATTAACCATCAGCAAAATCAGCTTTGGGGGAGTATGTTCTAGTTCATGCCCCTTAAAGATATCTCAAGGACTCTTGATGCATCATACGGGAACAATAGGGGTGCCTTGTCCAGAGGTCCACATACCCAGACCACCGGGACGATCCAAAAAATAGATCCCTGAAGGGGGTTCCTATACAGTATCCTTCATAGACTATAAAGGGTACTTTATAGGAACCCCCTTAAGGGATTTATAGTACTAGCTTGGGTCCCAAATTAGGGGATCTACCTTTTTTAGATCCTCACCGGGGGTCTGGGTCATGAGCTCTAAACCCTAAACCCTAAACCCTAAACCCTAAACCCTAAACCCTAAACCCCTCACCGGGGGTCTGGGTCATAAGGAAGCTGCTTCATGAGACTCCCAGGCCTGCTATTGGAGGCCGTACTCAGTGTAATATAAGGGCCTTCATAATTAGACTAGGGTTTTGGGGGCTCCTTTTAAAGGGTTCTATAAGGGCTACTATAAGGGTTTAGGGTTCGGG